TAGGCTGTATTTGTTTAATATGGGCATAAAATGAAAGCTGTTATGTCAAAAATATGCGGAAGCAAATAAAAAAAAAATTAAAAAATTCATGAATACCGTTTTTGTGAAAAATAAAATTGTGTAATGCGGACAGTTCTTTAATCTTCTTTAATATAAAAATTAATATAAAAATAAGTAGGGTTTTCCTTCCTAACGCTATAACTCCAGAACGCACGAACCGATTTCCACGGTTTTGCATTCGTTGGAGGTTTATAGCTAAGAAAATTCAGGAAAAATTTCAATAGAAAAGTATATGGTGTGTGAGTATCCCTCACGAAAATAAGTATGTTTCATTTAAAGTAGATGGTGCCGGTGCGTGAAACATTGTTTAACAGCTATTCATTGTACTTTGCTCAGTTAATTTCATGTGACACTAGCGAATACCCTACGTGCTTCGCTGCGCCTTAAAAGTAATTTTGTTTTGTTACTCCCTCTCACAACATTTGAAAATATTAGTTAATATTGCCGTGCATATTTGTATAGTAGGGAGATTTTTTCAAATTATATAAATATACGTTATTTGAATATTGAATCAATACACGTTTGAGGAAAGGGTGCGATAGTAGACTCCAGTTATAAGATTATAAATTAAATTTCCAAGAGAAAGTTGGTTCTTTACATGTTTTCTAATTACCTTCGAAAATATATTAACTCTTTGCTACAAACCTCACGGAGCCCGAGCCCTTTCCAACGAATGCAAAACCGTGGGAATCGGTTCGGCGGTTCTTGAGTTATAAGATTACCAAGGAAATGTAACTTCTTTTTATATATATAGATTTCTCAGTCATACGACTTCGTTAGGGCGATCTGGAGTAGCTACAGAATTGAGTTGTATATCAGATTAAAGTGCAAGCTCTATAGGTTATCCAAAAATTGTCAGATATCAAATCGGTGAAGTAAGCGTTTAAACATTTTATTAACCGATTCTCAACATAATGCTTTACATTCTTACTGATACACTTACAGAATTGAAACTCCTTTTTTGGTTGTAGTTGATTGTACAATCAACTCATTTTAGCTCACCTCAACTCATCTTATATCAACTCAGGCCACTACAGCTCATCTCATTTTAGCTCACCAAACTCACTTCAACTAACCTCAACTCAACTCAACTCACCTCACCTTAACTAAACTTACCCTAGCATACCTCACTTAATATCACATCATATCATTGGATCATTTTACCTTACTTCAGCTTACCTTGAGGTGGCTCAACTCACATCAATACAATTCACTTCACCTCTTGTCACATCACATTAACCCAACGCGCCTCAACTGACTTAATTTTATCTCACCACAAACCAACTTCCTCAACTGCACCCATATCATTTCACCTCAACCCAATTTACCTCTATTCACTTCATATTACCTCATCTCAAATCACCTTAACCCACCTCCCATAATCTTGCCTCACCGTAGCTCACCTAGCTCATTTCACTACATCTTAAGTCACCTCAGCTCACCTTAACTCAGCTAAACTCACCCACCTCAACTCGGCTTAAATCACCTCAACCCACTTAAACTACCATCTACTCAATACACCTTAACTCACCTCACCCAACTCTATCTTCCCTCTATTTACCTTAACTCAATTCAGTTCACTTCACCTCAACTCACCAAAACTAAATTTAACCTAACTCACCTCACCTCATCTACACTCACACCAACTAGCCCCAATCCAATTAACTCAACTGATTTCACCTCAACTCAACTCAGCTCAACTGATGTATCTAATTAAATTTGTAAGTATTTCTTTACTTTCACCCGAATTTCGGGGGTATTACTAGTAAATCGTAAATTTTGTTTCACACGAACTACAATATTGAACAGCTAAATATATGTATTTTAATTTGTGCCAAATAAACACCGATATAGTTAAATGGTCAATCACATATAAAGGGGATTCACAAGACGTATTAAGCGTCGTAATGTGTTTAAGTCTTAAAATTTTTAAACGTAAAATAACGGCTAAAAAATATTTTTAAACTAGTAGGAAATATATTATTGGCTCTTATTACACCCAACGAATCTTTCAAAACGCTTTTAACCGTTACTTTAAATTTAACAATTTTAAGACTTTAAATATACAGTAAATTACACATCGAAATTTGTAAATCCATTGTTCAAATTGTGTCAGAAACAATCGCATCCGATATAGAAAACTGTAATAGTACTGGCTAGTTACAATGTGAAATAATCAGATGGCATAAATACACTAAAGATTTTAAAAATATATTCACTAAAATTGCATTAACCTAAATTTTAAGTTTTTGCGAAGTGGTTGTCGAATTTAATTAAAAATTTAAACATTTTTAAGATAAGATATGAATCTATATATATAAAGCGCGAAGGCTTTTTTGTTCCGTATAAAAGATCTGCAACGTTCGTTCGATTTTCAAAAATGGGGTGTCAAACTAAAGCGCTTGGCCTATAGATGTGCAAACTGGTTTTATTTTTTCGAAAAGAGTTGCCCCTGTTGAATTAAATCAAATTATTAATTAAAATCAAATTTTTCTGAAACGTCACAAAATAATTTGATAAGTTATTTTGCTCATAAACAAAACGAAATCGATTCATATAGTTTGTTGAGCATCTTTGATGGGAAATATTGCGCCTAAAAATATGCTCTACATACGCTACAGCGGAAATAGACAACGCGCCATTTCTTTAAATGAAATTAATTTGTGCTCGGATGTACCCAGCCAGCAAAGAAACGTAAATTTTGCCGACAGTGCAGTTTAGTTCAATTTTGCACATCCGAAAACGAATAGAAAAACTTCTACTGTTATCATCAATTTTCGTATCTGGAAAACGTTCGTAACGTTCGAAAAAGATGATGTCATTTGAAAGCAATAATTGCAACTTATTTGCTCAGGCTAAACATTTGAAAGCATGTATGCGTAGTTGGCAGTGGCTGAGCGTGTAGATGAGTTTGCCGCTATTTGTTAGCTTCCAGGAGGTGCCGAATTCCGTCAGGCGCTTCCTAATTATATTTTATTTCTTTTGAATCGTGAAAAATTATTTGTGAAGTGCAGTAGGAAAGCGTATTGAACGAAAAATTCAATCAGACAAATTTCAGAAGAAACAGCCGAAAACGTATTCGTTTCACATACTGTTGTTTGTACATACGTTTCTGCCGCACACGTTAGTGGGAAAACGGATCGTCAAAGTATCCGGAAATGGAATCAGTAAACGGACAAAAATTCGCACTTCATCCACTTTTTTGTCCTTTCCCGAATCGGTTTTCGGATTTTTGCTGGCTGGGTATGTACATACATATATGCATGTGTATATGTTGAAAGAGAAAATAAATAAAAAGCCTGGTAAAATACAATACCCTGCAAGAAACATACTGGTAAAACTACTTGTAATTTTACCTGGAGCCGTGACTGAAAGTTTCCGTAAATCCTTCAGTAACATTGTTAAGAGCTTTGGGACGTTTTTGACCGTTTCCTTCCATTTCATACTTATTTGTGTGTTTGTACATACTGCTCTTACTCATAGGTTATGAGCATGGCCAACTGTATAGCCGCACCGCTCATTCACGTCATCAATACTCGTTGATTTTCTAGTCATTTGGCGAGGAGATTTTTAAGAAATTTACTATCGTATTGACAGTAATGTTACGAGAAAATGTCTGACCAAAAGAGAGTAAAACTCCAAGTCATTTAAAAACCATTTTTACCGACGGTTTACAGTAAAATAATTAGACAAATTTCAATGTAGTTTACTTAACATAAACCAATAAAAACCAATTTATTTAAAAATAAATATGCATTTATTTTTCATTTGAGTATACATACGTATATCAAGATCATTGTCATTTTTATATCTATGATATAGAATACACTTGTCCGTATCTACAAATATACTACTATTTAATTGCTTTAATTTTATACTATTAGTTATTTTAATTCATAAAAAATTTAATATTGGCTTTAAGGTTTTCTTACATTATTTCTAAGTTAAATTATTGCTTTTAGGTATACAATATTATTTACTTTATTTAATTAGAGAATTTAGGATTTATTATAAGTTTTTGTACTTCTTTATAAGTTAAGTTATTGTTTTTAGGTATACAATATTTTTTTGCTTTAGTTAATTAGAGTATTTAAGACTTATTATTAGTTTTTGTACTTCTTTATAATTAAATTATTTTTTTAGGTATACAATATTTTTTTGCTTTAGTTAAGTAGAGAATTTACGATTTATTATTAGATTTCCTACGTTTTTTATAAGTTATATTATTGCTTTTAATTTCTTACTATACCATAATTAAATTAATTAATTATAAATTATTGCTTTTAGTTTCTTATTATACAATATACAAATATACAATATTATTTGATACGCATTTTATTTGTTATATTATTATTAATAGTTTATATTATATTTATTTATAACTACAGATAAGGTATTATACTAAGAGATCACATTTTATTTGTACTATTATGTTCATATTATATTTGAGATCACATTTAGTTTGTACTATTATTTATATTAGTTTGGTAGTCTCTTGATTAAGGTGTAAAACTAAACTTATTTGTCTAAAGCTAAGCTTATTTATAAAGGCATATTCCGTTTGTTAGATGAATAGCGTTTCTGCTTTTACCTATTATGGCTGTATTCGACGCTCTTTCGTACTTCCTTTTCAAACTCTATACGGCCCTGGAGTTTGAAAATATCTGAAAAAAAATAATTAAAAACATAACCAAAAATTCAGAAAATAAGTGAATAATATAAAAAACCAAACAGAGCCACGCTAACTATTTTCAACTTAGATAGCGATTTTCTGCCGCATCGACCATCACCGCTTCAATATCTCCTGAAGAGCCTTTTATGGTGAAAAGATATGATATCTGCAAAGAGATTTGTGATGATTAATAAATAAACATATGAACCGAAATAAAACTGGAAAATATAATATCTACTCACCATTCCGTCTTCGTAATTTTTTTCTATTAGCTTTTCCTCCAAATCAAAACCAGCATCTAAAGATTGCATTGGCATAAGAACGGCCAGTTCTGTGTGGAGATCTTCGCAGTTTCTCCGGATATGCGGCAAACACTCTGATGTACTTTTTTAATTAGCACTCTCGACTCACGCACGACTTTATGGTGAGCCATCACATCAGTTTTGTCAAGCATCTGAAATATATATGCAGTCAAAATTATGCAATGTGTTTTAAAAATATTCAAAGGTAAATACAACCCATGTCAAAATTATAAGGCGCATTTTGACAAGTTTTAACGAATCTATATACTTTATTCTCTAAAAAACCGTAAGAATTTCAAGGTTTTTAATTTGATTCCTTCGAAAAATTTTGAGTATGCAGTTTTGAGGCCCATTTAATTGAAGTAAAATAAAAGGTAAGTTTGAAGTAGCTGGGACTTACTGCTGATTTTTAGATTTTTTGTTTAAGGTTTTGCCCATTTTCTTCTATGCGGAATATGTGCGCTGATTTTTTTTATATGGACGAAATTACGCAACATCTTTAAAAAATTTCCAAAAATCAATAGTAAGTTATAGGTACATAAAACTTGCACCTTAAGGCACTTAAATTAAATGGGCTAAAAAACTGAATACATACTCAAAATCTTTCTAAGGAATCTAGTTAATAAACTTAATTCAGATTTATGTAGTTTTTTTAATGCTTCTGGTTTAGAAAGTCAAGTATTATAAGAATAACACAGGCCAACATCAGTGTCGCGCTGTGTAGTCACTTACTTTTCCTTCCAAGCTATCCAACCGGGTCTCCAAATTTGTTTGCTTTTGTAATATAATTTCCAACATGTCCATTACATCTGTAAAATAAAAGAATTTGTAGCTACCCCCATATACATACATAAATGTGCAATCATGTGTAAAATTTTTAGACCAATTAAATAAAGTGCTTTATATTACCTTTGTTTGTTGCTGAAATTTCGGCAACAACTGGTGTTTCAGTTGCTCCAAACACACTCTGGCTGTGACAAGATGTTAATACTAAAAAATATCTGGTTATTATAAGATTATTTTCTATTTCAATTGCTTACTTTGATTTGAAGAACAGGCGTTGAAGTCTAGGGAAAGTTGAAGCCTTTTCCTTTTTCTGTCCTTAGGGGTGGATGTGGCCGGGGGTGTCCAATTGAAAATATCGGCTTCCTCACTCATATTTCTCCAGAATTCGTGGCATGGTTAAAACAAAGAAAAAGAAAATGTGTTATTAATGGGAACAAGTAAATTTTGCTAATGTATAGTAGAATAAACTTGTATAACTAGTGTGAAAGAGGTGATGTAATATTGGAATTAAAAGAAAATTATTTTCATAAGGTATGCAAAATTATTTGTATTTGATATTTTTTTTTGGAAACCGTATTATTTCATCACTTAACCCGCTTGCAAGCAAAATACTAAGTCCAGAAAAGGATTCAAGAGGCTCAATAAAGTAATTACTTATTTCTTTAAATTTGTATCCGACCACTACCTCCTCTTCTGATTCTATGCACATATCTATGACTTTGAAAGGTCCCGTATCTTCACTAAAACAAAACGAATTTTTCTCTTTTATATGATTAATGAAAAACGCATCAAGTTTTGAATGTTTATCTTCTATTAAATATTTTCTTTCGTCAATTCTCAAATACCACTGTTGCAAAATATTTGTGGGGGATTTAATAAGTTTTTTTAAGTGCTGCATATAATTTTCGAATTTGTAGGCCGAAAAAGTGTCTAAGGGTACATATTCTTTGGCACAATAAGACAAATGAAGAAGGCCGTGCAGGTTAAAACTTATTAAATGATCCCCATAAATATTTCCAAACAAATTAACAAATTCATTTAATAATTGCTGTACAATATTTGCTTCTACTTTGTAAGATCTTTCGGAAGAGAGAATACGTATACTGGCATGTAATAAAAGAAAATGGTAGTACAAATGTTCATCAACACAATTTTTCAAAACAAATATACCCGAGTATAGTAAAAATTGTTTATATTCAGTGGATCTCCAGTTTCATCAATATTTCTGCAAACTCTTCCGAATTCAGATGGCACCCAGACAGAAAGAAATTAAAGCTTATCATTCATTACGTTAACGTTTACTTTATTTACTAGAAGATGCAAGAGTTTTTTAACCACACCTAAATCAACGAGGTGCATGGGATCTAAAGGAAATTGAGAAACCATTCCAAAGCCCGCTTCTTCTAAAACATTTTCTTCTTCCCGAAATTTTACGTTATGGTGTGCCAAATCATTTCTATTTTTGAATGAAAAATCGGTTCTTAATTCACATAGTTTCTTAGAGAAGCATACCCTTTTTTCTAAATAATGACCTACTTGACAACATTTAGGGAGGCCCTTTTTCGCATTATGATTTTGAACCCCAGTCACAAAAGCTCTCGCGGGCGAATCACACGTAAATAAACGAACATTAAATCTTTTCAAAATGGGGTTAATCAAACCGACTTTTAAACCGTTATTTCTTAAACATACTACTTCGTCACAAAAATCTTTCATAAATTCATTAACATTGCTTGGTTTTTGTTTTCCTGAGAAGCAGGCAATAGTAAAAGGTTTTTCTTTTGGAAAATCAACGATTGAACCAAGAATAGGCCATAGTACTTTACTTGAACTTCTGAATAGCTTTAAACCATCTATTCCAACATCTATTAAAACTTGATCTTTTTCATTTAAAAATGGAAATGAACGAGATTCAAAATGCGTCTATTAAAACTTGATCTTTTTCATTTAAAAATGAAAATGAACGAGATTCAAAATGCGTTTGAATGCCAATATACGTAAATTCTCCACCCGAAATATTCTTAATAACCGATTTATTTTTTGTAGTTTCAAGCAGAGTTTTTGCTGATAAGGGTAAATCATGAATGCCTATTTTTCTTAAAGCGCTTAGCAAATCGCTCAACACTGCTTGAGACACATTATTTTCAATTGCCCATAATTTTAAAATTTTACACTTTTCTGCACTTGTTATACATTCTATTTCATTTTCCGACCGGCATTCTGAATCGGAAAATGCATTTCCTCATCATACTTCTTTCAGTAGGAGTCGAACCGACGATCCCACTGGCTCAGCCAGTTGCCTACGCACTGTGCTAAGTTCGCCTTGTTAATTCTTGTTGCTTATTTCCACTATTTCACTTGTTAAGCCAACTACAATCAAGCGCAGCTATTCCGCTGCAATTCACTTGATCATGTGGATGTTGGTTTTGTTGGTTTTTGTTAATATTTCTATTATTAGAATGCTTAACTTTAAGGTGTGCTCGTCCTTAAGTTATCAGTTTTTTTTTTGTTAAACGGTTTTTTTTTAAACGGCCTCAAGCTCAATAAAAATTGTTGGATAAAATAAAATAAAATAAAGTTTTTAATATACTACGCTTTTATAAATGGTCCCATAGAATTTGTTGTGATAACCATTGATTTTGAAATTTTAGCACAAGTAATTATAAACAATTTATGAGATGTAATAGACTTGAATTGATGTGAAAATTAGTATATGTGTGTATGTGGATATATGAACAGCGATCGATCTCAAATTTGTACTTTAGCCCAGTAAAATTGGACTTTTTCTTAAAAAAAAATTGTAACAGGAATTTTTTGATGCAGTTTACTTCTATTTGACTCGTAGATCATGGATCCACAGTCTTGCCCCTAAATTTCATTTGGCAACATTCCGCCATCTTGGATTTAAGGTTTTTTGGGTTTTTTCCAATTTGCAACCTTATTTTGCATTTTTCGTAAAAAATGGTTAAATAGAAATATGTAGAGAATTTAATATCCCACGTTTGTTATATAGAAGGTTTTTTAAAACTAGCAATTTTTATTGTAAAAAATTTGCAAAAACTGCAAAAAAATTTACATTGTCACGGTTTCCGCCATTTTTTGACAATATCTGTTGAAAATACATAGCATATTGAAATTCCAAAGTTGTAGAGAATTTCATTCTTCACAACTTGTATACCTACATTTGTTTGGTACGACGCTTAGATCTCGGCCGGGAATGTGAGAAATATAGCGATTAGCCCAGAAAAATTAATTAAATTCGGTAGGAAAATTAAAAAAAAAAATTGTAACAGCGATTTTTTGATGCAGTTTACTTCTATTTGACACGTGGATCATGGATCCACAGTCTCGCCCCTAAATTTCATTTGGCAACATTCCGTCATCTTGGATTTTATTTTTTTAATGGGTTTTTTGCGATTTGTAAGTTAATTTTGCATTTTTCCTAAAAAAATGGTTAAATACAAATATGTAGAGAATTTAATTTGCCACATTTGTTATATAGAAGGTTTTTTAAAAATTGCTTTTTTTATTGTAAACAATTGGTAAAAACTGCGAAAAAAAACTACATTATCACGGTTTTCGCCATTTTTTGACAATTTCTGTTGAAAATACATATTACATATATACGTATTGAAATTTCCAGGTTGCAGAGAGTTTCATTCTCCAAAACTCTTGTGCCCACTTTTTTTTTGTACGACGCTTAGATCACGGCCGGGAATGCGGTAAACATAGCAATGTACGGGATGCGCCGTAAAACTGATTGACATATTTGTATTTAACAATTTTTTATGAAACATGCAAAATTAGCTTGCAAATCCCAAAAAATCCAAAAAAAATTAATCCAAGATGGCGGAATGTTGCCAAATGAAATTTAGGTGCGATACTGTGGATCCATGATCCACGTGTCAAATAGAAGTAAACTGCATCAAATAATCGCTGTAACAAATTTTTTTTTAATCTTCCTACCCAATTTATCTAATTTTACTGGGAAAATCGCTATGTTTATTAAGATCCCGGCCGTGATATAAGTATCGTACAAAAAAAATGTTGGTATAAAAGTTGTGAAGAATGAAATTCTCTAGTTTGGAAGTTTGGAATTTCAACATGTTATGTATTTTCAACAGAAATTGTCAAAACATGGCGAAAACCGTGACAAAATAAAATTTTTTTAGCAATGCTATTTTTAAAAAACCTTCTATATCGTAAATGTGGGAAATTAAATTCTCTACATATTTCTATTTCACCATTATTTACGAAAAATGCAAAATAAGCTTGCAAATTGGAAAAAACCCCAAAAAACTTAAATCCAAGATGGCGGAATGTTGCCAAATGATATTTAGGGGCAAGACTATGGATCCATCATCTACGTGTCAAATAGAAGTAAAGTGCATCAAAAAATCGCTGTTAAAATTTTTTTCAATTTTCCTTCCAAATTTATCTAATTTTACTGGGCTATTGCGCTGTAGAAATTTTAGGTCTATGTTATGTCGTTTGACTATTGTCAATTAAATCTAATGCTTTGTATGGCATGCGCTCTACTTTTTTCTTTTTCAATCTCATAAATTGTTTATAATGAATTTTGCTAAAATTTCAAAATCAAAAGTTATCACAACAAATCCCATGGGACTGAGAAACATTATTTTCTACTTTTTAGTTCATTTATAAAAGCGTAGTATATTATAAAGTTTTTTTTTAATTTTATTTATTTTAACTACAGCCTCTATGTATGTAAGAGCGCCCTAACACCCATATATACTACATACTCCCATATGTAGTACATACATCCATATTTACCCCATGATCAGTGTTGCCAAACATGGGCTTTTCCTACCAAAACTGGAATGGATTTTGGTAAGTTCCGGGACAATAATAGTTACTTGCGAAAATTATAAAATATGTATCTTCAAGCACTTTAGAAACCTTGTTTACACGAATATTTCACCAGTGAAGTCCACCATTGTCCAACTGAAAGAGACTTTATTGTAAGACTTGAGGAATATCACCAAAACTAACCTACTGATCTTTCAATATGGTAGTAAGACCCGTTGTCACATTTGCGGCACTGGCCTGGTGACCAAAAGCTACGCAAGTAAAGAAGGTTTTCACCTTTAGCAAGCTGCACCGACTGGTCCAATTGGCCATTACAGGAGCTATGGGCACCTGTCCAACGGATGCCATTGGTGTCATTACAGGCGTTTTTCTTTTGTCTATCCTGTTTGAAAGAGGCCTGCAGGTGCACCCTACGACTGCCTAATATGATCAGCAAGAAAATTTGGGATCTTCGAGGTCATTTGGAGGTTCTAAAGCCATTACTGGATAATCCCGAGTTATCTTTCTATAAACCCTACAAGATCAGAATTCCTGAAAGGGACTATGTGAAGTGATAATAACTACGATTGACGAAAGGTCCCAAGTATGGTATACCGACGGATCAAAGATGAATGAAGAGAGTACTGGGGCAGGCGTATATGGACCAAAATTCCAGAAAGTCTGCCAATTTACACATACCCAACTATATTCCAGGCGAAAGTCTTCGCAATCGTGGTCTGTGTAGAAGGACAAATGGGGCCAAATTAAGTATTTTGTCGGATATTTAGACAAGTTAAACGCTTTAGACGTGTTTTAAAACAGCATCAGGCGTGTGGACAGCTGTAAAACTCTTTTGAACCACTTGGAAGCCAACTATAACGTAACGCTGTTTGGGGTTCCGGTACATGAAGGGTTTGAAGGCAACGAAAGCTGACTGTCTCGCAAAGCGTGGAGCCCAAACGCACTTGCATGGTCCCTAGCCTTTAGTGAGCTGGTGGAGGAAACTCCAGAGCATGTTCTATGTGACTGCCCACGTATCATAAATACCAGACTTATACACTTTGGGGAAGGATTGTCTTCATCCAAAATTTTATTTAAACATGGTGCCTTCCAAAGTGCCTAAGTTATGAAAGAGAATAAGGTTGGAATGATTACAATTAAGATTAAGAACAATAGATCTTCTAAGGTCGCAGCGCGTGTATCCCAGACGTAATAATAATAAGATAGTCGATGTTTTTGCAAAACCGCCTATAGCCCAATTGCAAAACCACCTATCTTACGATACTCAAATTTTACAGGAAAGCGAAAAAACAGTTTATTCTTTGAAGGCATTGCCTTGTTAGGCGATATCTTCTCTAGCTATTATTTTACAAATCTGTTTTTTTAATAACGATTTAACGATTTTTATGCATAAATCTCGATGCCATGTCATTAAAAAATATTAAAAACTTAAATAAAGTTTTGGTAGGAAAAAAAATTTGTCTTTGGCAACACTGCCCATGATACAAAAAATAAGGTAGTTTAATTACTACTATTTTTTGATTATAAAGCAGATTTTTGACATTTCTCCAGATGTAAATATTAAGCACAGCTTTGCTACACTCGAATTTTTTGAGAAGGGATATTTTTTTAAATATTTGTGATTTAATACAAGCGTTAAATCTACACACACAAAAATAGCAACTTGATGTGATCAATTATTAAATTAAAATTTGTTTTTCCCAAGCGCCTAAAAGATCGTTTGAAGAGTAGCCATGTGCAGAGATTAGAAAATAAAATAGTATCCAGTTTTCATATTTATTCATCAAAAAGTTTTAGATGTTAATAAATATCGTTTTGTTTTGCTAATTCATTTTATTGTAAACAAAATATACAAATTTACATAACATTTAACAAAACATTATTCTAGTTTCACAAACATATTAATAATAATAATACAAAACACAAAGCCCTGCGGAATGGTAGCGTGCACTGCGAACCTACATTCACTACATTTAGTCGGCCTGAGCAGTCCACCACAGCAAAAATTATTATCTTTTTGGGAAGCACTTATTTTTGTATCAATGGAGTAACGCAATATAGGCGCCTCAAGACAACTTTC